ACTTGCCGAGTCCTGAAGGGTTTGCTGGCAGGGTGGACAGGGAGGTTGAGGCGGGTGACCCGTAACTCGCAGTTCTGGGAAGCACAGCAATTCATCACCTTGGCAGATGGTTTGGGGGTGACTCGGGACAGGAGGGGTGTTGGGGTCCCTCTGCAAAAAGCGATGGGACAGTGGGAGCCTGGTTGTGGCCTGCAAGCTTGTCGGCTGCCTGTTGGTTTCCGGAAGCCATCACAGCATTGAAGGCGGAGGCCAGCGGTGACACCACCCCTCCCTAGTCTGGGTTGAACCCCAAACCGTCACAGGAGTTAATTGTCCGAGCGTGGGGTGGGGGTGGTGAGGAATACATGGTGATGGGAGTGCTTGGAATCTCATAGACAGACGGACATACTAGGGTGCAAACAGATAGACAGACACACTAGGGTCCAGCCATGGCTCCAGCTAACTGGACATATGGGGAGGCGGGGCACTCACAGACACATTTGCAGCTCTGACCCACCAGCAGGGGGCAGGATGGGGCTGTTCACACCCCAGCTCACTCCTGTTCCCGTTCACACTCACCGGGCTCCGGAGCCGGCGCAGCAGGTAGTTCAGCAGGAAGGATTTGCCCCGGCGCTGCTCCCCGATGATGGACACCAGGCAGACGGGGGCGTCCCCCACCCCACCCTGCTCCAGGCAGCGGCTCAGGGCCTCCTCCTCCAGGGTCAGGCCCCCTTCCTCGTCCAAATGCACCAGCTGCACCGGGCGCCCCTGCTCCCGCTGAGCCCCCGACCCCTGCTGCGGGGACAGAGCAGGGTCAGAGCTGGGACCCACCCCTGAGCCGGCCAGTCCCCAGCTCCCCAGAGCAGAGCCCCATACCTGATTCCCATCCCCCTGAGCCAGCCTGTCTTCCCCCCTCCCCCCAGTGTCAGATGGGAGCTGGTTCCCCCTGGAGGGGAAAGGCCCTGTGTCCCATTCCCACCCCCTGGGCCAGCCTGTCACTGGCCTCCTGGATCAGACCCAGCACCCCATAGCGGAGAAAGGCCCCATGTCCCGTTTCCAGCATCCCCTGCCCTCACCCGCTCTGTCTCTCTCCCCTCCTGTGGTGTGTCTCTGATTTTCTCCACCAGGTTTTTGATGCGTGTGTCGGGGATCATCCTGCCCCTGGAGCAGGGGCGGCAGCACTCAGGGCACCGGTATGTCTGGGAAAAGACCTGGCTCCAGTGAGTCGCGAGGCAGCCCTGGCAGAAGTTGTGGCCGCACTCGATGGAGACGGGGTCGTCCAAGATGTCCAGGCAGATAGAGCAGGTCACGTCCTCCCGGAGTCTCTGCATAATCCCCCCTGGGGCTAGCTTCAAGGGACAGACAGACAGAGGGGAGTAGGGTGTAGTGGTTAGACCAGGGCAGGGCTGGGAGCCAGGACTACTGGGTTTTATCCTTGGCTCTGGAAGCAGAATGGGGTCTAGTGGTTGGAGTAAAGGGGAATAGTTGTCAGTTTTCTAATTGAAAGAGAAATGTTCAGGCTCTTATAAAACCTGTGAAACATTCCCCTCTTTTCCTTTCTCCCACGTCTGATTCCCAAGTGAAACTAATGTCAGTCTTGCCAAATGCGTCCTCAGGCCCCGTTCGGCCCATTGAGTTGACAGCCTGGCAGAGTTAGCGCTATTGGGCTGAGTGGGATACGCTGGGTGGGGGGGTGTATTGACAGCACCACCCACGCCAGGTGATCCAACGGCAGGTGTCTGGTCCCCAGCAAGCGTGAGGTGGAAGTTACACACCCGGGAGATGTCTGAAAAACTAACCGGAAAAGTGAATCGAGGGGCTGCACTGCCCGTGCTGGGATTTCTCCCCTTGGCCAGTCGGCTGCAACACACTCACTTCCCAACGCCACCTCTGACCCCGCCCCAAATCTCCAGGGCTGCTCTATGCATCAATCCAGAGCCTGGTGGGTTTAGGTGAAAATCGGAAAACCAGAAACGTGGGGCTGGGGGACACATGGAGCCCCTGGTATCTGGGGGGTCCAGCCAGCAGCTTCAACCAGCTCTGAAGGTGGCTGGAGATCAGAGAGCCGGTCGCTGGGAGCAACGAACGTGTCCCTGCACTGCAGCCCCTCGGTCTCAGCTGGGTCCCAGCGTCCAGGTGTGGGGAACACGCTGAGACCTTGAATGGATGAATGCCCAGCCAGCGAGGAAACAAATAATAATGGGGGGGTAACAGAGAGTCACTTACAGGGATCAGCCAGGGCTCTGTGTGCCCCCTTCCCCCCATAACTTCCTCCCTGTGCCCCCATTTCCCCCTCCCCCCATGCCAGGGGCTCCATCTGCTCCCATCCCAGGGCCTCCGGGTGCTCCTTCATTCTCCCCAGGCAGCCACACACTGAGAACCTCTCACTGTGGCGATAACAACTTGCAGCTCCCAGTCTCTGTGGACACTTTCCCCCAAACTAGGAACTCCCCATTCCCGGGTCTGGGGGGGCTGATTTCAGCAGTGTTTCAATCTGGGAGATCGCTCCTTAGCACCCTACCATGGCGGCCTGTTGCAGGCGCTCAGGGAGGCGCACGGCCATTCCCACCCTAACACAGCACAGCGACTGGGCCGCCTCCCGGTGAACACGGAAGAAGAAAGAATCAGATCCTTCAGCTAGCAAGGGCTCGACCCTGCTCTGCTCCAACAGGGGTTTCCCAGGCCGTGTCTCCATGTCTGGGATGACAGCGGCACAGCACTGAACTCTCTGCGGACGCCAGTCCCGAATGACTTCTCCTTTCTCTCAACCTCCTTCTCCAGACAAGTTGGGTTTCTTATCCCACCCCCGCAGCCCCCATGGGGAGGCTGTTCCAGAAGCTGCCTTCTCTCGGAGCTGGGAGCCACCTTCTCCTTTCCCACCTCTATTGGTCCAGCCCCCATTGTCCTTCTGCTCCCATGGTTCTTCCCCGTTCTTGGCGTCCCCCCACCCTCATGCCTACAGAGTGAGCAGTCACAGCCCCTCTCACCCTCATATTAGACTGAATGAGCCAGGCTTTTTGAGTCTCCTCCCACAAGATGGGCTCTCCATCCCCCTGAGCATCCCAGCAGCCCCTCTCTGCACCTGGCCCGGCACAGAGCCCTCTTGCTGCAACATAGAGTCACAGGTCCCCGGGCCAGAAGGGACCTTGTGATCACCTAGCCTGAGCTCCCTGTATAAGCCGGGCCAGAGAACGGCCCAGAACTAATTCCTGGTTCAACTAGAGCAGATCTGTTAGAAAAACAGTGGTCAGTGATGGAGAATCCCCCGCGCCCCTTGGTAAGCCGTGCCAATGGGCAGTGACTCGCACTGTTAAACATTGACACCCTATTTCCAGTCTGAGTTTGTCTAGCTTCAACTTCCAGCCAACGGGTTGCGTCAGACCAAAGAGATGGACGAGGCCTCTAAGATCTAATTTCTATTCCTCTTGTAGATATGTTCGGATGGGCTCCAGGATCCCCTGAACCTCCTCGTCGTTAAGCTGAATAGATGGGATTTGGACACAGGATTGCAGACGAGGGCTTCCCAGAGGTCGCGTGATACACAGAACGCTGTACAATAGCACTCAGAAATCCCGTCCAACCCATTCCCAGCCAGAAGGTTTCACTTCTTTATACGGAAGCTACATTAGAGGAAATAGCTTTGCTTTCGGTGGGTACAGACTCTCTGTCGACCGGCTGGGTGTCCCGTGTGTTCCTCTTCGGAGAACATTTTGCTGCCCTCTTTTAACAAATGCCTCAGGCACCTCGTCAGCACAAAGATGGTGACATGACAATTTCCATTTCCTTTCAAAATCATTCCGTTTCTCTCCATTCCCCCACTTTTTTAATTAACCTCCCCCCACCTCTCGCTCTCTCTGACAGACAGACAGACAGACACACACACACACACACACACACACTTTTTGAGTATGAGAGAAAAGGAACATAATTTTGTAAAAACAAAAATTGTTTCATATGAGGTTTTATTTTTGTCAAGAAAACAATTTTTGGGGACCAAAACAAACATTTTCAATTTGGCCCAAAAGCCCTTTTTTGTCCAAAAAATGTTTGACAAAAAGTTCTCAATCCACTCTACTTAAATTATTTCTTGACAATTAGGACAGTGTTTGGCTGGCAAAGTAGAAACCCATTATGCCCTTAAATCATCCTCAGACCTCACAGCCTAAAAATGTTAAAAGAACAGGAGTACTTGTGGCACCTTAGAGACTAACACATTTATTTGAGCATAAGCTACAGTCCACTTCGTCGGATGCCTAGAATGGAACATATAGTGAGGAGATCTATAAACATACAGAGAACGTGAAAAGGTGGGAGTTGCCCAACCAACTCTAAGAGGCTAATTAATGTCTGAAATGGGCCATCTTGATTATCACTACAAAAGTTTTTTTTCTCCTGCTGATAATGGCTCATCTTAATTAATTAGCCTCTTAGAGTTGGTAGGACAACTCCCACGTTTTCATGTTCTGTAGGTATATATATGTCCTTACTATATGTTCCATTCTATGCATCCGAAGAAGTGGGCTGTAGCCCACGGAAGCTTATGCTCAAATAAATTTGTTAGTCTCTAAGGTGCCACAAGTACTCCTGTTCTTTTTGTGGATACAGACGAACACGGCTGCTTCTCTGAAACCTAAAAATGTTAGTTAAACAGAGTCTATCCCATACAGCACTGGAGCAGAAGGGAATTACATGCAGAAAACAAGCAGTTGGTACCTGTCTGTGAGATAGATGTGGATTTTCCAACCCAGCCTCTAGACCTAGATGGAGCTTTAGTTCCGCTGGGTTCCTCTACACTTGAGCTGATGCTGGGAGCAGCTGTCGAATTCTTATTAGATTTCGGCACAAGTTTCCTTCAAGGGTCTCAAGATGCGTCTTTGAGGGCAAATCAGGTGACAAACTTTCATATTTAATAACATGTGGGCATCAAGTTGAACCACTTCTCACTTTAGCTATCATCCTTTTTACAGTCCGAGAGAAATACAGGCTGACTCATGTAGTTTCATTCTTTGCAATAGGATACAATCAACTCCCGATTATCCAAATAGCCTGGGGGGGACATGGATTTTATTCAGATGATTGGAAGTTTGGATAATCCAGAGGGCAGGAGCCATTCAGCAACGGGGTGGCCTCCCTCACATCTGCAAGGGGTCATTGTCCTCCTCCTATTCCTGACCGGGGATCTCTGCTCTATTATCTGGACCTCCACATTGTCCAAATCCCTTCCTGGTCCCCTAGCATGAGATACATGAGATCATGCTGCAGAGGACAGGTGTTTCATGCTGGGGGACAAGGAAGGGACGCAGATAATGCAGAGGTTTGGGTAACAGGATTTTGGATAAACACCGTATATCTACTGTTCTGGGGGTTAACTTCAGGATCAATCATGGGTTACGGATGTCCCTAGATTCTACCTTTCAGCACTTTGCAGCTGGGAGAAGGTTGGCTAACTGCCATGATTTGTCATCTAGGGTTCTCTACACAAACGTCTTGAGGCTTTCTATTGGGGGTCGTGTCCATCATCCAAGAAACGCCAGACTGACATTTCTAGTTGCTATTTTCCCTCTTTACACAGGTGTCCATTTTGGAACTTTCTGATCTTTCAGGCTTTTAAACTCAATGCATATCAATCATGTAGGATCTGTGACAGGTTTCCCCCCTCAGGGTGCCACCTGGACCTGGGGTACCACTGAGCCCCCCTGACCCACCTGCCTGGGCTCCCTTCTACACTGAACCGCTGTGACAAACTGCCAAGCCCTCTCCAGGCTTCAGCCTGTGTTTTTACCAGTACACATACAGATAGGGACACATCCACCTGCAATTACTTGCAGATGCTCTGACCAGCCCCTGCATGGGAAGGCTACAGCTAGGGCATCTCCCAGTTCCTAAGGCATGCACCCCCTCTGGAGTATAAACCCCAAATTACACTGTTTTGTGCTGTACAAGGAACTATACAGCATAAGCTCATGAAATTCGCCCCCTTGGAGAGGAATATGCAACATCTTTCTGCCCCAATTTATGACTCCCACTCACTGGTTTAAGATAAAGCAAAAAGAAGTTTATTAACTACAGAAGATAGATTTTAAGTGATTATAGGAGATGGCAAACAGATCAAAGCAGATTACCCAGCAAATAAGCAAAAAATGCAAACTTAGTTTAATACACTAAATAGTTTGGAGATGAATTGCACATTCTCACCCTCGGTCACGATACAAGCAGGCTGCAGATTCTTAAGGGACAAGCTGCACTTGCTCACAGCTTGGAATCCCCAGGTGTTCCATTCACAGGCTAGAAATCCCGTTAGCCTGGCTCCAGCACTTCCCCCAGTTCAGTCCTTGCTCCTCAGGTGTGTCCAGGAGTCCCTTTGGGTGGGGAGTCAGTGAAGAACCCTGATGATGTCACTCCCCTGCCTTATATCACTTTTGCATATGGCCGGAACCTTTTGTTTCACAGCTTGGTTCCCACGCCAGTCAGTGGAAAAATACTGACATCCCAAGATGGAGTCCAGCACCAGGTGACCTGGTCACATGTCCCTGTGGTCATAGCAGCCATTACTCGGAGGTTGTCTGTAGCATCCTCAGGAAGGCTCCCCAGGTGGGAAATAAGCTTCTCCTAAGGCCTATTGTTCTCTTAATGTGCCATTGCCCTAAATAGGCCCTTCCCCACCCACTGTCCAGAATGAAAACATCTTGTCTAGTGGGCGTTCCCCAGGTGTAAACACATTTGAAATAAGGATACAGAGTCAATATTTCTAACTTCAGATACAGACATGATACATTCATACAAGTAGGATAATCATATTCAGCAAAGCATAACCTTTCCAATGACACCTCACATGACTTTTCTTGCATAAAAAACATTATAGAATCATAAAATCATAGAACTGGAAGGGACCTCGAGAGGTCATCTAGTCCAGTCCCCTGCACTCAAGGCAGGACTAAGTATTATCTAGACCATCCATGTTTGTCCAACCTGCTCTTAAAAATCCCCAATGATGGAGATTCCACAACCTCCCTAGGCAATTTATTCCAGTGCTTAAACACCCTGACAGGAAGTTTTTCCTAATGCCCAACCTAAACCTCCCTTGCTGCAATTTAAGCCCATTGCTCCCTGTCCTATCCTCAGAGGTTAAGAAGAACAAATTTTCTCCCTCCTCCTTGTAACAACCTTTCATATACTTGAAAACTGTTCTCATGTCCCCTCTCAGTCTTCTCTTTTCCACACTAAACAAACCCAATTTTTTCAATCTTCCCTCATAGGTCATGTTTTCTAGATCTTTAATATTTTTGTTGCTCTTCTCTGGACTTTCGCCAATTTGTCCACATCCTTCCTGAAATGTGGCACCCAGAACTGGACACAATACTCCAGTTCAGGCCTAATCAGGCTGGAGTACAGCGGAAGAATTACTTCTCGTGTCTTGCTTACAACACTCCTGCTAATACAGCCCAGAATGTGGTCATAATCATATCATAATAATATTACTGGGAAGAGTATGGGGTGAAGTGTCATAGGATTTTCTCCGACAGTATTTTCTTTTCTTATTGATCCTTCTGGTTAGGCGCTGACTAGGTTATTTGAACTACTTAACCCCTTACAGGTAAGGCAATTCAGTACAGTTGCCAAGGATACATAAAGGTTGGCTCCCAGCCTCCCCCTACCTCAGGTTTGACTCCCAGCAGATTCAGAACTCAATGTCCTACCTGGGACCTGGCTCTAAAACCGTGGCTCATACAAACATCTGGCAACAACAGTGACAAGCGGCTGCTTTCCAGCATTCGGCAGAGCCCACACATGACCCCCTTCGGTGAAATATTGAGAAGAAGGCCGGACACAGGGGCCATATGCCCACGTCTGCGCTACAATATTGAATCAAGTTCATGGTCTCAGCCTTATCTTCAAGGCACTTCATGCCCTTGGCCCTCCGTGTCTGAAAGAGCTGAGAGATCCAGGATGAAGACCATAGTTGACTTGCTAGCCCAGTGGAGTTCTCTACAATAAGGGTGAAGCTCATCGGTGCGGGAGACAGACGTTTCTCCGGGGCCTGGTCCAGATGGTAGAACGACCTCCCCCAAAATCTAAGGACCATCCCAAACTTCCCCACCTTCCGCTCCGAGAGCCAGGTGCCTTTTGAGAGGTTAGTGTAAAGGCAGGGATTAGACATTAGACAAGGGTTAGTGGCAGGGTTGGAGGCTGGGAGTTAAGGTTAAAGGTGAGGGTTAGATTTATGGGTTAGATATGGGGGCTGCTTGGGTTAGGGTTCATGGCCAGACCAGCTACTCTGAGCTGTATATCACAGATCCACCCCCCAAACACATCCCCAAGCCACCCCCACAACAAGCCAACAGCTAGAATTAGACCCAAACATTACAGCCCTCAGGAGACTAAACTGGCTTGTGCCACGGGCAGAGAACAGGAGAGGCTGAGGTGCACCGTGACCACGGCCCCTGCAAAGGCAGGGAATTGATTTAAGTGACACATACCCAGTCGGGGGTTAAGGTTATGAGGCGCTGTTTGGCCTTAGGGTTTCCTCTGCAGCTGGGATCAGGGTTCTCTCATGCCAGGCACCAGACCCCTATGAGAACCAGAGTTACTTTACGGGAAGCTAATGGCTTTCCCAAGTGGCTTGGCTGGTATCAGACAAAGATTCTCTATGGTTCCGGCCCAAGTTGCTGATTGAAAGAACAAAATGACCCAGTGTGCTTTCTAGCCATTTTGTTACAAGTAAAACAACCCTGAATACAAAATCAAGAAAACAAATCGCTAAGACCAAGCCAGTACAAACTCTACCCACCTGACTCGGCCATTCTCCAGTGGAGGTGAAAATAAGATCAAGTAATCAAATTAGCAGCAGCAATATTAGAATCAAGTCATCAACGCAGTCAAATCACCAAAGACAAGAGTGTGATGGGGTTGTGAGAAAGAGAAATGTCACCTGGGGTGTATTAACTGGAAGGTCGTATGTGAGACACGGGAGGTAATTGTCCCGCTCTTCTCAGCACTGGTGAGGCTTCGGCTCGCATCCCATTTCCAGTTTTCGCCACCGCATTTTATTGAATCTATTTCCCCATGTTAAGTATCCTCACACCTTCTTCTCAAACTGTCTTAAATGGGCTATCTTGATGATCACTACAAAGGTTATTTTCTCCTGCTGACAATAGCTCATCTTAATTAATTAGCCTCTTAGAGTTGGTTGGGCAACTCCCACCTTTTCATGTTCTCTGTATGTTTATAGATCTCCTCACTATATGTTCCATTCTATGCATCCGATGAAGTGGGCTGTAGCCCATGAAAGCTTATGCTCAAATAAATGTGTTAGTCTCTAAGGTGCCACAAGTACTCCTGTTCGTTTAATGGCTAATCTATTTCCCCTTCTGTGTTTCCTCTCCCCCGCCCCCCAACCACAGGAATACACATGTTAACAAAGTACTTCCTATAAGCAGCAGCTGTATCTTCCCCTAACCGAATTAGAGCTGATGGTTTCTGTGGAGACTTGTCCCAAAACTAGGAATTCACCCTTCAAGGTTTGATGAGTCAGAACTTCACAGTTATTTACATCTGGGAGATTTCTCTTTAGCACTACCCAGGGCGGTTATTTACAGGTGCTCACAGACACACACACGCACTCATCCGTACATTGACACCCTAACCCAGTGCCCCAAATACCTCACCTCCTGTTGCGCACAAAGGAAATTGCTTAAATGCCTCCATTGCTCTGAGACTGTCCTGCACCCAGGACCCGTTGACTGGCCACCTTCCAGCAGAACCACTTTGCAGACCATAGTCTCAAGTGACTTCTGCTTTCTCTTGCTCTGTCCCGAGAGGTGCAGCCTCTGAAAACCCGCAGCCCTGATATCAGGTTTCCAAGGAGTTCTTAGGGAGATAGGACTCAAAGAGCAGGTTAAGGGGTGACTAGATCCCAGTCCATACGTACCCACCTGGGGAACAAATATTTGACAATAGGTCCTTCGGTCTAGCACAGAAAGGTCTAGACTTAACTCAGACTGGAAGTAAGGCAGACATTTTTAACAGTGAGAACAACTGGAACAGATTCTCCATCACTGGCCATTGTTATCCAGGCCTTGGAATCTGTGAGGGGAAGGGGCGCTCCCGACTCACCAAGCCCCGGTCAGGATGGAGCTGACCCCGTACCTCACGCTAGAGCGTCTATCGGATCATAGGCGCCAGCGGAGGCTAGCGTGGAACAGCTGGAGAGTCCCGCTAGCCCAAGCCCTCATTGATTGGAAATGCCCAAGTCCTGGCCTTTCACCAAAGGGTGGGAGTTGAGACTTCCTGTGGAATTGGCCAGACGATGGTCCCCTGCTCAGCATGCGTTGATGGGTGTGGAACCGATTCCCTTTAGCTTCGGATGGTTTTATAGCCCTCCCCCGGAATAAAGAACGATTCCTGTTTCTTGGATAGCGCTTTCTCTCAGTAGAGCTTAAACCCCTCACCATCTTTCAGTGCATTATTACCCTCATTATACAGATGGGAAACTGAGGCACGGAGAAACTAAGTGACTTGGCCAAGGTCACAGAGGAAGTCCATGGTAGAGCAGGGGATCCACAGGGTCTTCCTGTGCCCTCTCCCCTGGACCCGCCTTCCCGCTCAGAGGGGCGGCTGGAGATCTATCCCCCAGGAGCGGACCACAGGACTGTTCATGTAGGAAGTAAGCCAGGCACCCGTTGTCACCCCTAGAGGGCGATCTCAGGACAGGACCGTCGGCCGGTCATTTCCAAGCGCTTCGCGTTGCAGCCGGAGTGGCCCTGCAATGTCAGAGGAAGGCAGAGCGAGGATTGAGGGCTGGAAGTTAAAGTCAGACAAACTCCAATCGGAAATGAGGCACCGGATTTTTCACACTGTGGGTGATTCACCAGTGGGAAAGCGGTGGGGTCTCCATGTCTTCCGGCTTCCGAGCCAGACTGGCCGCCCTTCCGGGAGATGATTTAGTCCAAGGGGAGATATCGGGCCTAACGCAGGGGGAAGTGGGCGGCGTTCTCCAGCCTGGGTGGCACAGCAGGTCAGACGAGAGGATCTAAATGTCCCTTCTTAGAATCTGTGGGCGATGGCTCCCCGCTCTGGGGTGGCTTCTTGGGGACGTATCTGGGCTATGCTGCAGCCCCGTCACCCCATTCGTCAGCCCAGATTGGGGGGAGGGGGAGACACCGATCAGATCAGGGGTTTGTCATCGGATAGATCCTCAGTGCCATCCCCCTCCTCCCTCCCACCAGCGGCCTCAGCCCTCTGCCTATCCCTCCGGGCGATGTTGCCACCCACGCCCCCGCCCACGCCCCCGCCCACGCCCCCACCCACAATGAAACCGGCCACGGCGCCCGTCCCAGCCCCAATGGCCACAGCCGCCTCGGCAGCGACGGCAGCAGCAGCGATCCCGGCACCGATCCCGGCACCGACAGCTCCGCCCACCGGGCTCAGGACCACCATCCCCGCACCCACGCCTGCCAAAATGGCAAATTTCATAAAGCGCTTCCCGTAGATCTCCAGGAAGGTCTTAGTCTCCCGCGTCAGCTCCTCCTCCAGCTCTGTCAGCCGGGCCTCTGTCTCCGGCGCCGGCTCCCGCATGTCGGTCCGGCACCGCCACAGCAAGTGCCCGCGCCGCTCCGCCAACAGCTCCACCATCTTGCTCGGCCGCACCTTCAGGCAGTCGATCATGTTCTGGGAGTCGCCGTCCTGCGCCCGCCGGGAGAGGAGACGGCCAAGAGCATTAGAAAGGGAAAGCGCAGCACAGACCCCACCCACCCGACCGAGATGGGGGCCCCCTCGCGCCAGGCACGCACACACCGGGACCGACGATGGGGCCCCCGGTCCCGACGGCCGACGGCGAAACGAC